GCAGAGCGCGCTGGGCTTCGCGGCTCCCGCGCGCGCCGGGCCTGCTGTGGCGCCGCTCCGCGTGCTCGCGAGCTCGGCGCTGTTTACGGACTGTGCGCCCGCCCCCGGGTGCAGCGTCCTGCCGGCCTCTGCGCGTGCGGACGTTTCCTGATAACAGCCGTCTGGCCCCGGCTGACCAGCCGCAGAGCGGGCCAGCCTGCCCTCGCCAGCTCCGAGGAGCCCTGGTGCCAAAGTTGTCGACACCCAAGCAGCCCGTAGCTGGCACCGCGTGCTGCTCTGAAGATCGGTCGGATGACCGCGGAGGTAGCGTGGAGCCCGCAGGCCCGAGGGGAGGGAAGTGACGGTCCTGGGTGGGAGAACGCTACGCCCGCGGAACCCTGCGGACCGGGGGTCCCAGCGCGTCGAGGTCGTCCGGGCGGCGCCGGGGACTCCGGGGCGCACCCCAGAACTTGCGCTCCCGCCTTTGCCGGTGCAGGGCAGCGCTGTGTGTCGGTTCCCCTGTACTTTCTGGGGCTGCGGGTGGGGGCTCCCTCCGCGGCGGTGCTCGGGCTGGGCTCGGCAGCCGCGCCCTGGCAGCCTGTGGCAGTCCCCCCGCAAGGAGGGAGCCTGCTGGCCGCTCTCGGAAAGCCTCTGCACCCGAAGTGTCCGCAGAGGGGGCCGCGGATTACAGCGAGCCTGGGAAGGACTGGCGAAGCTGCATCCCCGAGCGGTGCTCTCGCCCCCTTCCGCGCCAGCGGCATTCGTCTCGAAACTGAAGAGTATTTATGAAAGTTTGTGCTGAGTTTACTGTCTGCAGTGAGTAGAGGTGGTGCACAATGTATAGGGCGGACGTCTCCCTTACTGGGGAGGCATCTGCTAGCTCTTTAGGAACGCACATCTTCGGGGGGTTTTGTTTGCTTGTTTTGTTTTGCAGTGCTGGGGATTGACATTCAGGGCTCCCCACTCCACCCACCGACCCCCGCGATCCTAAGCCCTCTCCCACAGAGCTGCATACCCGTATTTTGAGACAGGGTCTCACAAAGTTACCCAAGCTGGCCTTGAACTTGTGACTCTCCTGCCTCAGCCTCCCAGTATCCAGGATTGCAGGCGTGCCTCACTGTGCCTGGCTCTGAATGCATGTCTTCATACTGGATGTTTCTAGAGACCTAGCCCTCTGGGGACTTCAGTTTGAGTTTCTGTTGGAGCAAAATAACGTAATATTGACCGTTCTACCGCGCAAAGCAGTGATGTTAAATACTGTGTTCTCCAGCTGTTCAGACCTGTCTAGGTGCAGAGCTTTTCATCACCCCCAAGGGAACCTGTACCCATTAATCACCCCCGCCCCATTCCCCCATTACCCTGGCAACCACTAATCGGCTTTCAGTCTCTGTCCATCCTTATTCTGACACTCGTATAAATGGAACTTAGAATGTGTGGCCTTTTCTTCCATTTGTTTTCAAGGCTCATCCATGTTGTAACTCCCTTTGGTTCTGTATTCTTTTTGTGGTTGCATAATATTCCATTGTATGTGTATGTCACTTATTTATAGATTCATCTGTGGTGGGCACGGAGTTGTTTCCGCCTTTGGCGATTGAGCATAGCAGCGCCGTGAAAAATCATGTTCCGCTTTTTAGTGTGAATACCTACAGTTCTTTTGGGTCCACGCCTAAGAGCAGAATCGTGGGTCCCATGGGGACTGTTCAGCCTGTTAAGGAACTGCCAGACCGCTTTCCTCATTTTCCCTTCTCGTTAGCAGTGTGCGTGCGCCGCGGTTCCCCACGTCCTCCAACAGCGGCTCTTGCATGTTGTGTTACTGTTCTTGTATTAATTGTGGCCATCCTGAAGAGCGTGAAGTGCCGTCTCACGGTGGGTGTGACTTGCACTGCCCCAGCGGCTCGCGCTGCTGAGCACCTCGGTGTGCTCGCCGGCCCTTTGCTCGAGTAAGTGGCTTCCGCGCCTGCGGTTTTGCCGTCCGCGGCTTTACTCACCTGCGTGGACGGAGAATAATACTGGAGCGCCCTGAGCGATCAGAGACTCTGAAAGCGGGAGCAGCACACTCACACAGCTTTGTTATAGCATGC